CCAACAATTAAAATGGGGCAACAGGGCACAGAGCCACAATACCCTTTCTGAAATAAAAGCTCCCACAGGCCTGTAGGACCTGCTATGGGGCTCTACCAACGTCGCAGCAATTTAATTCACCTCGATGCCTTGGGCAAAATGGCGTCCACCACGAGGCGCACCTAAAAATGGCCACCGGGCTGGGCGCAAGGCTCACAGACGGAATAGCCCTTAAGAAAAAGCAATCAGCCAAAGGATTGAACTGAAAACGAGGGCTAGGAGAAAGCATTTGTGGGGGGAAGACACAACACGCGCTAAGGAGAGCGCGATCACAAGTCGCTGCTTAAAAGCAGGAACGGCTAGAAACTGCAGGAAAGAGGGAAGGGGGGGAGCAAAGGCTCTAAAACCCCTCTATCTCCCCCTTGAGGGGCGAAAACTTCACTCCTTTACTCACAACTAACACCCAAAAGCGCAGGGACCAAGGAAAGAAGCAAAACGCAACGATCAAACCTGAAAATGAATAGAATTCCTGAAACGGCCAAGGAGAATGATCTATAGCTGCCTGTCTCTTGCGAGGCTGAGCTAAAAACTGGGGAACGCATGGAGGAGTCACGTGGTGGAGGAGGAGTATTCCTCAATTATAGCTCAGCCTGCAATTGGTGAAGACTAGAGCACCTCCCACTCTCTGGATGCTCAAAGCAGCTCGATTGAGAAATTTGCACTTCCAATTTCCAGCAAAACTGCACCCATAGCAAACCACTGGTTCACTTAATGACTGCAGCATTTGCTTTAAACAGTCACTTAACGACCTTCACAAAAAATGCTGCAAAATTGGGTAAGTATGACTGACCCATTTCACAACCATCACAGCATGCAACCATAATGGGAAGGCTCCTTTACTGTCGTATATCAAGAGCTACTTGTATGTTGAACTAATATGGTTATTCAGGAGCTCGTTCGTGGAACTGGCTCCAAGGGAAAACATGTCTCAGATTCAACTTTGAATTGAACTGGCAATTGGCAACTTTGGCAAGGAATTGAATAGGATGGGCACAACTTAACGTTGCCTGGAGGGTTCCTAAGAAGTGGGCTTCCAGCCTATCATTCAGACCTCCCAAAGTAGCAATACTGCTTAGAAGAGATGATATGCGGAGATAATCCCAATCACAGAATTTCCTTTCAATCTGCCACTAAGGTGGAAAAAACTGTGTGAGGGATCTTGGAGTCCTAGTGGACAATCACTTAAATATGAGTTAACAGTGTGTGACAGCAGCCAAAAAAGCCAATGCAATCCTAGGCTGATTTAATAGACGGATGGAATTGAGATCACATGAAGTTTACCAATTTACAAAGCCTTAGTAAGACCACTCTTGCAATACTGCATCCAGTTCTGGTCATCACAACATAAAAAAGATGTTGAGACTCTGGAAAGAATGTAGAGAACAGCAACAAGAATGATTAGGGGGCTGGAGGCTTAAACAAGAAGAACAGTTACAAGGACAGTAGAACTGCTGGTCACAAATGCTTCTAATCACAACCAAATCAGGTTCCGACCCAAAAATTCACAATTTTCTTTTTTCGCAGGCGATTTCCCCTTCCATGCCATTTTTTTTGTAAGTGCCAAATTTGCAAAATTAGGTTCGGGTCATGACCAAATCGGGTTGCAACCAAAGTTATGGAATGAATTATGGTCGTGACCAGAGGTCCTACTGTCCAGTCTAATGAAAAGAAGGGTTAGGTGAGACATTATAGCAGTATTCCATTATTTGAGGAGCTTCCTATAAAGACAAGAGGGAGGGGAGTCAAACTATTTTCCAAAGCACCAAAAGGCAAGATGAGAAATAATGGATGGAAACTAACCAAGGAGAAAAGCAACCTACAACTAAGGAGAAATTTCCTAATGGTGGGAACACTTAACCAGAGTAATGGTTTGCCTTCAGAAGTTGTGGGTGCTCCATCACTGGAGGTTTTCAAAATGAGACTGGACAACCATTTGTCTGAAATGGTATAGGGTCTCCTGCTCAAGTAGGGGGTTAGACTAGAAGATCTCCAAGATCCCTTCCAACTCTATTATTCTGTTCTAGAATGAAAAACAAGGAGAGGAATCTCCTTTGATCATAGAGGTTGAAAACATGACTTTCTTCTCCCAAAAGCCCAGTGCATCACTCAGAAGAAATATTTCGGTTTTATTTATCTATCTGTCATACAGCCCAGTTTACCAATGAAAGAATGCGCATAAAACACACAAACTAGGCAAACTAATTTCTCTCTGCCAAAAATCCTAGATTCAACTTAAGACTTGTGACTTTTTTGTGTGGCAAGCCAGGTCCCCATTCTTCTCTTTGCAGATATATTTTCTACTACAGAGAACTGAATAATGCAATCAACTGTTTGGCTGACTAATGGAAAGCAGCACTACACAAAATTGCTTTGTATCCAGCTCTCTTACATAATCGTACAGACGTAGGCCAGCCATGGCCTCAAGCTATTAACAAGGCTGACTGAAGCGTGCTGGTGGGGTGAATTCAATCCCCGAGATAAATCATGGCTTAACAAAAATAACCCAAATGTGGGGTTCATTAACCATGGCTAAAGCAATCATAATGGAGCACCTTGTGTGAACTTTTCCCCTGTGTGAACTAACCATGGAAAAACATGTTTCTTTTGTCATATTCCCATAACATTGCCTTAATCTCATCTCCACACAATCAATGAGACAGATTTCGCTCCCCTTGATCATTCCAGTATTAAATACATTTTTTGCCTCATATTTGATGCTGTCCAAAGATAATTTCAAAGTGAAGAAATCTTGTTAGGTTTGAAAGCTGTGGGAATTCAGTGACTGCAAGAACCAAGGAAGGACAATGATCAACAATTCAAGTTCATGCTACTATGGCTTCCTTCTAACTCAATGTTTCCCAACCTTGGCAACTTTAAGATGGTGCTTGGGAAATTTTGGGAGTTGAAGTCCACACATCTCCCAGTTGGGCAACTCAGTTGTAACTTAAGGATGAGTGAAGACCCCTTGGCCAAGAAGTGCAACAAGAATGATGAGTTGTAAAAATAAATACAATACATTGTGCACCAGGACTTCATTGATGAACCAGGACCAAGTTCAAATATCAATGTCTATCACCCAAGGTGATTTTCCAAAAGGCAACTGGGCTGTCTTGGTTTTTTCCTGAAAATATTCTGAAAAAGCTTCTTGGATGAGAAGTGAAACTTTTTCAAGGAAAAACAAAGGAAGTCCAGTTGCCTTTGAAAAAGCACCTTTGAGACAATCATGACCTGGATGATTGAAAATCTCCACAGACAGTTGCTAAGGAAAGTCATTAAGTCAACTTCTATGGAGACTCTCAGTCCTCCAGGTCGTAGTGGTCCCAAATGTTCTTTTCCAGAAGGCAACGACTTTCTTGGTTTTTTCCCTGAAAACGTTTTGCTTCTCATCCAAGAAGCCTCTTCAGTTCTGAGGAGCTTCTAGATGAAAAGCAAGAAGTCCAGTTGCCTTCTGGAAAAGAGCCTTTGGTTCAAATATCAACAGTAGAAATAAATAAAGAGATAAAGAAGAGACTGTTCTTGAAGGACCTCTTGGTATTAAAACTCTTCTCTCACTTAGGTCAGCAGGGGTTAAATCACTTTAGGCTGAAAACTAGCGGCAGAGTCTTAATACACCAAAAAGAGGGCGGGTGGGGGGGAATATATGCTTCTCTAATTCCTAAAAAATCCACATTTAACAGTCAACCTGCAGAGGGCACTTCAAGACCACGGTGAAAGAAAGAAGCTCTGCAACCGGTGGGCCACTTGTTGCTATTATGGGATGCAGGAAAAAGCAAAGTCAGAAAATAACCGCATTGCTGAACATAAACAACGGTGAATAGGTTTTTATTCTTTTAAAGTCTGTATTAACAGTGGGAGGACTACGATACCGTCTGCTAGTATAGACAAGAATTTTAGCACTTGACTTAATGTGGCTGGCAGGCGTGCTTCAAGATGGTTTCTTGAGTTAGTTTTTCCAACTTTTCCTGGAAATACACTGATTTTTACCAGTGTCAGGAAAAAGCACGCTATAAAGTCAAATTAACTACAGGTAGTCCTTGATTTACAATAGTTCAATTAGTGATCATTCAAAGTTACAATAACACTGAAAAAAGAGCCTTCTGGCCATTTTTCACACTGACAACCATTGCAGCTTCCATGATTAACATTCCAAGGCTTGGTAACTGACTTGTACTTAGGAGGCTTGCAGTGTCCTGCGCTCATTAGATTCTCTTTTGTGACCTGCTGACAAGCCATGTCAATAGGGAGTCAGATTCACAATTGCAGTGATTCGCTTAACAACTGTGGCAAGGAAGGTTGTAAAATGGGGCAAAACGTCCTTAACAACTGTCTCACTTAGCAACAGAAATGTTGGGCTCAACTGTGGTCATACATTGAGGACCACCTGTATTAGACAACCTGTGGAGTGAAGAAAGAAACCTGCCGTAAATACTAGAACCAGGACTTTAAGAAAACCATTAAAAAAACCATAAATCGGTGAGTTCAAGAAATGCCCCCATGAGAAGATGTATCTCTGCTTCATAGCAAACGCCCTCCAGCAATTGTTTCTCAATCTCAGCAGCTTCATTTGGTTGGCTGGGGAATTCTGGGAGCTGAGGTCCAGGCATCTTAAAGCTCCCAAGGTTGCCAAACACTGCACTACATACAGGTAGCCCTTGACTTATGGCCACAATTGGGCCCAGAATTTCCATCGCGAAGCAAAGCAGTTTTTAAGTGAGATGTGCCTGATCCTATGACCTTTTTTGCAATGGCTGTTAAGTGAATCACTCAATGAAGTGAATCATTTGCCGTTATGCAAATCTGGCTTCCTCACATTGCCTTTGCTTGTCAGAAGGTGGTTGAGGAGGTTGCCAAGGGGAGTTATAGGGACCGTAACCATTGTAAATACTTTGCCAGCTGCCAAACGCCTGAATCGTGGTCACGTGACCATGGGGAGGCTGATGCAGTGATCATCAGGACCTTACCTTTCCATTGTTTAACTCATTGAAGGAGACAATTGTACATAAGCTCATCTGAATAGGGTAATAAACATTCCCGCACTGAAAACGTTCGGATTCTCGGGACTTCCACGGCTGTCGTAGCAGAAAAGTGTTGCCATTTGGTCTGATAGAAGAACATTCTTGATCTAGGACCTGCTGACTGTGGCATGAGCAGGCTAATGGTGTGCAGGGCTTGCGAACGTCCTCCAAAATTCTTCCTAAACTCCTAGTTTCTGCAGAGGAACCTGCTGAAAGACCAACATTTGGCAGAGTCCTTCCACACCCCAAGTTATCTCCTTGTACCCTGGCATGGTGATGGTCTTCTCCTAGAACCCCCTTGGACATCTGGTTGTCTATGAATCCCTCCTCCAGATCTGGAGTATCTGCTACACTTGTGAGGGCATTAAAATCCTCGGCAGAAGTACACACTGCTTTGATATCCATTTCACTTTCACACCATTCCTCACAATTCAAAGAAGAATCCTTTTCCAGGCCTGCAATGTCCATCTCGGCCTTCATCAGATCTTGAGACTTTAACTCTTCTGTATCCAGGCTCTGGGAATCTGCTGAAACGGCAACAGAGGATCGGGTATTCTCCTGGTACCAAGGGGGCAAAATCCAGGGATCTCCTGGAGCAGAACCTAGGCCCTCATCACTTAATTTGTTAGGAGGAATCTTCTGCTTCTGTAGCAGTTCCGTATCTAAGCTCTGTCCATTGAGCACCGGACCATCACTTGGACATTCTGAGTGGGGAAAAGAGGGCACACTTTTCCTAAGAGGTGAACAAGGACTTCCATTGCTGTGGTCCTTCAAGATTTCATGAGACATCTCAGCGTTGGTATCTCCTTGAACTGGAACTTGACCAGCTGAGATTTTGGAATTAGGGTGATCCCACATCTCAGAATCAGGTGACAGTCTAGTTAATGAGAAACTGTTAGCATTATCATTCGCAATGATCAAAGGCTGCCTTCGATGAGATCGCTCCAGCCTTTGCCGTGCACAGTTGGAGATTTGCTGTGGTTCATCCTGAGAAAATGTCTTGGAAGATCCCCGCCATTTCCTAGCTGCTCCAGCCACGCTATTAAAAAACTTAAGGACACCACCGAAATGATTTCCCTTCCCTCCGTGGCCAGGCTTTTTAGTCGGGCCAATGTTGTCTTTGCATCCTGCAGCGAAAGCAAGATAAGAAGGAGGGCTCTCCGTTGCTTTTCTCAACCTCTGAAGACCAGGTTCTGCAGTGGGGTTCTCCAACTTGGAACAGTCCTTGCCTGTCAGTGAAACTCCCTTTAGGTATCCCCAGACCTCAGAACTTCTTCCTTTCTTATTCTCATCTCTTGTTTGAGAATGTCCTTCAGCACCCCTAGACTCTGGAGTTTTTTCAGACTCAGGGGCCCCATTTTTCTGAGCCAACATGTTGTAACAATAATTATCAGCCTCGCTACTACTGACTCCCAGCTCTAGCCCCCTGTGCCATTTGCTTTCGCTGGATTCAATATCCAACACGCAGCTATTTAATTCAATATCCTCAAATGAAGAATCCAAGTCCTCAATGAAGCCAGCATAGGAGTGGCGGTAAGGCCGCTGGTCGTCACTGAGCTTTCTAAGCCTATGGAGAGCTTTTTGTTCAAGATCTTCTTGAGTTTCCACAGAGATAATGATAGCCTTTGCTTTGGATGTATTTCTGGATAGACCAGAAGACCGTAGCTTCTTATAGGATCTCATTCTTTCCATGAAAGACATCTTACGATTCTGCTCCATGATCTCCACATGATCTCCAAGGAATATCATGGATTGGGGCCGTTTGGGATTCATGGAGGATCCTTTCTTGCGGCCAACAAAATTCCAAATCCAACTGCCTCTGGCCTTCTTATTCTTGCCCACATCCTCTTTGCCAGGGTCACTGATGGCACCTGGATTAGGATGCATCTGTTTTGTGGATCTTTCCTTTGAATTCTTGGTTCCGTATCCATTTGGAACTGGGGTAGAGCAACCATGTTGGCAACGGTCAATAAGTTCCATACTTCTAATGGTAACACCCAGGTCCAAATGTCAGGCCTCCATTGTCACGAAATGTGTCCCTTTCGCAGAACCTGAAGAGGAAACAGAAAATAACCCAGTTAAGCTTTCTGCCTCGAAACATAATATATATAAAAGGAAAGTTCAATGTCCAAAAACAGTCTAACAGTTGAATCCTTACTTCACCAATATCCAAGGTCCGTTTGGTTTATTAGATTCATGAGATCCTTAGCAAATACACTGCCGTGACCTCCTTCCCAAATTAACATTTCACAAATACTGGCTTAAGGAATCAGGAAGTACTTCCATCCATCTAAACAAGCAGAATTTGATGGAAAGAAAAAGGAAGCAGCATTGACCAGCGATGCATCTTATATCAGACAGATACAGATAATCAGAGTTGGAAGGGACCTTGTAGGTCATCTAGTCCAACCCACTGCCTAAGCAGGGGAGCCTACACCATTTCTGACAAATGGCAGTCCAATCTCTTCTTGAAAGTCTCAAGTGATGATGCTCCCACCACTTCCGAGAGCAACTTCTGTTCCATGGGTTGATTGTTCTCACTAAGCCATGGTTTTTGCTATCACTATATTACAGTAAGGGGTATATTTTTCCTTAGCAAATACCAGCTGCTGAACCTAAAACACAGCATTCTCACTTCCGGCACAAATGATCTGGCTCAAATTATCATAATTTTTATATATTACTGTATGCAAAGACTAAACTCTCTGGAGAAGGTTCTAGTGCTAGGAAAGTTGGAACGAAAAAAGGACGACCAACAGCAAAGTGGGAGGAGTCATTACAGCAGCACTAGAAGCACCAATGGAAGATCTGAAGAACCAGATTAGGACAGGTTGCTATGGAGAAAGTCCATCTATACGGTGACTAAGAATTGGAACTGATTTGGTGGTACCTATAATCAATCAATCATACGGAGGAACAATAAATATTGCCTTCTGTTATTTCCATGCTCTGAAATAGTTGGCTGACTAACAACTCTATTTTCTTCGCTTTCTCTGAAAAGAAGGACTAGATGCTAGCACTATTCCAATATTTGAGGGACTCCTACCAAGACAAGGGGCTGTCTTGGCTATTTTCCAAAGCATCAGAAAGCGAGACAATAAACAATGAATGGAAACTAGCCCAGGAGGGAAGCAACCTAGAAGAACTAAGGAGGAATGGCCTAACAGCGAGAGCGATCAATCCGTGGAATAGCTTGCCCTCAGGAATTGTGGTACTCCATCACCGGAGGCTTTCATAATGACACTCATTTATCTGAAATGGCATAGGGTCTTCTGCTAAAGCAGTGGCTTAGACTAGAGGACCTCCAAAGTCCCTTTCAACATTATTATTCTATGTTCTATATGTTCTCTCCACTGTCTTGTTTCTCCAACCTCCAACAACTCTCAATATGTTCCACACTAGCTGGTCTGGTTGGTCTTGGAAATTTTATTCCCTAATCTGTCAAAAGTCACTGTGTTCCTATATATTATTTTAAATCAGGACATCTACTGGGCAAAAGCTGAAAATCGTGGACTTTTATCTCAAGGTTAATCATTTATCCAAATCAAAAGTTAATAGAATAAAATAGAATAAACATAAAAATGACCTAGAGATGCATGATGAATAAAAAAAATAATAAGGAATGCAACATTTGTCTTCACACAGCAACACAGGATTCAGCCACTAATAATACTAGGGTTCAAATTGGAAAGTAGAATCTTTGTATAATTGGAAGTCTGTTTGTCTTGTTGTAGGAGACATAAATTTCTGGAATTGTAAGCCCCCGGGGTCATTGATTGAGATGAGTGGCTATAGAAAATGGATGGATAGATGGAGGGAGGGAGGGGGGGAGGGATTTTGCATATCTGTACAGATGTTGCAATAAATCAGTATATAGGTAACGGTTTGTGGTTAATGGAAGTGGTACCACACTAGTGAGGCCACACTTGGAATATTGTGTATACTTCAAAAACAATGCTGAGACTCTTTCTAAAGAGTGCAGAGAAGAACAATGAAGAGGATAAGGGGGTTTTCCTGGTGATTGCCCCTAAGTCACCCAGCCAGCTTTTGTGCCTAAAATGGGACTAAACTCACAGTCACTTGGTTTTTAGGCTAGTAACTTAATGACTCAACTGGCTCTTTTGAACAAATTGCGGGGGGGGGGGAGGAAATATGAGCCACCAGCCACTGCAAAGATGCCTGAAGCATCAACCCATAGGAAGAGTTGAGAAGCCACCCCTGGTCTGCTGCAGCTTCCCATATCACCTGCCATAGATCTGAGGATCTTGCCCATAGTTAGCTCAGAAATTAGCTGACTGCACGGCATGACCCACTCGTTGTCTTACAGGACAGGGAACATTAAATGGGATTGTCATTCCTGAAACAACTGCTCCCATCTGTCCCTTCTGTTGCGGAGCAGGAAAAGGACAGTCCGGCCATCTGGGCCTTTGTTTTGCCGAGGGAGTAAAAGCTCAAGACCGAAGCAGGGAGAAGCGTGTTTTCCCAAAGGCCTTCAAGTCAGTCAAGGAAATTGTGCCTGAGTTTCAATGCCTTCATATCCGTTCCCCGTCAGGAAGGCGAGAGGGAGGGGAGGAAGGAGGAACAAACAACTGGCAACCTTTGAGAGAAACCCAGACATTCTTTAAATGGAGAGCCTCAAACTTCCCCTGGAGAGAAAAGAAAAGAAAGCATCCCCCCCTCCCCCCAAGCCGCATTTCCACTGCTGTACATTGTCACCGAAAAGTAGAAAAATAAAAAAGGAGGAAGCAGATGTTTGAGCCATACGGCTTCAGGAAGATCTTTTTCACAGTAGAGCTTTATCAGCTCAAGGGGGCCAGATAAATAATGAAGCTTCACTAGTTGCTACTCCAAAGATAAGAGCGGTCCAATGTGGTTTGTAGTGGGAAGCAGCCAACTCACAGTGGGGAGACCCAAATTCTAGCCCTTTTTCGACTACAGAAGTTCTTCTGAAGCCACTTTCTCTCTTAACAAAGAATCAGTGTGATATAATGGAGAAGGTGGCTAAGGCACCAGGCTAGAAACCAAGAGGTGCTGAATTTGAGGCATGAAAGCCGGCTGGGTAACCTTGAGCCAATCACCAGAAGACAATGAGTTCTAGTCCCACCTTATGTACAAAAGCCTGCTGGGTGACTTTGGGCCAGGCACCAGGAGATTGTGAGTTCTGCTTCCTTAGGGAGGAAAGGTGGCTGGACGATTTTGGGGCAATGACCAAAAGATACTCAGAGCCTCTTAGGATTCTCCAAAATTAGTGCCAGAGTCACCTAAAACTCATGATTTATACAATCTCATGACGGGCAAAATCAACTACCACCAGACATCTCAGCTATTGAGGTAGCTTGAAATGATTATTGCAGGCAACAACAGAGGCTGGGACATGGCCATTCTACACAACGCATCCAACTCAAGACCTCTTCACAAGCCCACCAAATGGTAGAACGACAGCCAGACCTCCTCTCACCTGAAGAAGTGAAGGCAACTCAACTCAATTCGTAATGATTCCAGTGCAACCTTCCTCGTTCATGGGCATCTTCCACTTGTAAATATTTCAACAATCAGAGTTCTCCCGTCAGTGGAGGCATCACTGACGATTTTGGAAGCTGAGACCATCACTTCTCAAAAGCCCTAAGATGGAAGAAATGACAAAAAGCTTAAGGTTCTTCAGAACAGATTAGCAGGATGAAGAAGAAGTTAGCAAGAAACTATCGCTTCATTACATGATGACGCAACAGAAAGAAAAGAACTAGAAACTCATGACTTGGATGGAGGTTATTTATATTCTTTATTAGACATGGCAACCTGTAGGTATAATCACAATAAATATCATGATTAGCTCAGAACAAAAGAGCTCTGACTGGAATTTGGGGACAGGTTAAATATACAGCAGGTTTAACATCTGCTAAAGAGATTCTCTAGGATCTCAGCAGGCTCAATTAGATGTTCCAACACCAAATCCGGGAAGGAAACGAACCGCTGCATTAGGAAAAGCCTGGGGAACGGATGCCAAATGTGTTGAAAAAAATATTCAGGAGGGCACATTACTTCATCAGCAAATTAAGACCAAGTGGGCAGGGAGATCAAGAAGCTGGATACAAGCACAACTTAGCTCAAAGGTGGTCAGACCTTGAAATCTTAATAATATCTTGGTGGGACCTGAAGTGGCTTTTTTAATAGTCATGAATCACCAGGCAGTGATTTTTGAGATCAAGAAGAAAGTTCCCACAAAGCAGGAGATTGGGCTTGGTGGCCTTTGGCTTGCAGAAGAGGAGATTGATAACACGTATCTTTAAAGTTAAGAGATGCTAATATTGCAGCAGTGCCTTTGAACACAGAACAGCTGTGGTGGTGCAGTGGTTAGAGTGCAGAATTATGGGCAAACTCAGCTCACTGCCAGGAGTTCAATCCTGACCGGCTGAAGGTTGACTCAGCCTTCCATTCCTTCTGAAGTCGATAAAACGAGGACCCAGATGGTTGAGGGAAATATGCTGACTCTGTAAACTTGTTTAGAAAGGGATGTAAAGCACTATGAAGTGGTATATAAGTCTAAGTGCTCTTGTAAGACAAAATCTATGATTTACCTTCTGCACTTGCTAGATTAAAACAACAAACAAAGGACATGACTTGGTGTGATTTGGCAACCTCATCTCAATTTGGGAACGTTAATGGTGGCGCAGCGGTCAGAATGCAGTATTACAAGCTAATTTTGCCCACAGCCAGTTCGATCCTGACCGGCTCAAGGTTGACTCAGCCTTCCGAGTATGGTAAAATCAGATTGTTGGGGGCAAGATGCGGACTCTGTAAACTGCTTGGAGAGCACTGTGAAGTGGCATGTAAGACTAAGTGCTATTCACACTTTCCAAAGCTTTGGAAGGTGTCTTCTCTTTTTAAAACAAGGGTGATACAACATACTTGAACAACCTAATCCAAGACAAAAGGTGAATGACTGAATCCCTTCATGTGTAAGTTTTGATATGATTCATGCCTGGTTTTTCTTTGTTGCATTTACACCCTGCCTTTTATTTTTATTTTTTTATTTTTTGGAGAACTCAAGGCAGTTCAAAGGGAGGACTTTCCCCAATAATCATCCTGTGACATAGGAAGGGCTACGGCAACATCACTTCATGAGTCCCAAGAATTTGAATCTGCCTGAAAAAAAGTCTAACACAATTCCAAAGTTTTATTTTTCTGTACACTAACCAAACTGGAAGAAATGTTCAGAAATAAATGTTGGCTTTGTTTGGGGCTTAAACATTAAATTTCTGTGAATTTTACAAGATTTTGCTTGATATCAATTTTCATAGCAGGTTTGGAATTCCTTGAAAGACATGAAAGAATCTGAAGAAAGTAATTTCCAATGGGGAAATTTAATTTAAGTGAGGAAAAGATAGGGGTGCATTCTGATGTCAGAGGCTGAGCTCACAATCAACTCAATTTTAAGCCAATTATCTTTCTTCGGTCTTTTTATGAGTTCTGATGCAGTTTATGTTTGGCTTGTTTGACAAAAACCTCGAACCCATTTTTGCTTTGATTGCACAGTGATGTAACTGTATGATTTCAGTTAGAAGAGTTTGCACAATCTTAATAAGTACAGTAGTGACAATCAGCTATCTACACCACTATACAAGCCACAAATTTTACAAATTCTTTTAAGATTATTCCGTCCCTGTTCCCAAATGTGTCTAAGGTCAGAATTGGACTTGAGGATGCTGACAACAAGAAAAAGGCATTTTCATTCAACTTTTCCACCCACCCCACCCCAAACCCCAAGGCTTCCAGACAGGATTACCAACTCTAAGATTAACCCAGTTTCTGTCTCCAGGCTTAGAAAAGGAAAAAAATGATTGGGGTGGGGAAAAAAGAAAGCAATGTGAAGCAGTAGTCCAAGATATGAATACACTTTTATGCTTCAGAGGGAACAAATCGCTTTTTAAAGCCACCATGTAGACATTTGCATGCATAAAGGAGAACCAGGAACATTATCTTCAGAAGAACCTCTGCCTTTCTCATTCACCCGGTTTAATTACATCCACAGCCAGTCAATGCAAATCAATAGGCTGCTGGAACTCATTAGACCTAATGCATCTTCTAGTTAATTTCACTCCAGGTATTTCATTAAACCTGACAGTGCAGCAAGGAAGGCACACGAATCCACAGCCTTAGCAGAAAAAAGAAGCAGAAGACCGTGGAGGTCTTCTAGTCCAACCCCCTGGTCAAGCAGGGGACCCTATTCCATTCTGGACAAATGGCTATCCAACCTCTTCTTAAAAACCTCCAGGGATGGAGCAACCACAACTTCTGAAGACAACTTCTGTTCCACAGGTTTATTGTTCTAACTGTCAAAAAAACAAGAGGCCTTTCACAGAAGAGGTTGGCAAACTTGCCCTAAGGAGAGCTTCTTCCTTACAAGAAACAGCATCCCTTAGAGAAAAGCAACCATCACCCCCAAAAGTTCACAGCTCCTCATTGGGGGCCAAGACAAGTGCAGGATCGGGAAAAGAAGGTCGGTATCCCTATAGCTTGTGGAGAGGGGCTTGTATGTGTGCATCCACAACCTTTTCCACATGCAAAGGCCTAACGCATGTCTTCCCCTAAGAGCCACAAGTGTCCCACACAGCACATGGAGAAACCTTACAGACTTACAGAATAACAGAATTGGAAGGGATCTTGGAGGTCATCTAACCCAACTCTTGCTCATCAGGAGACCCTACCAGACCCTATACTATGTCTAACAAGTAGCTGTCCAGACTCTTCTTAAAGTCTCAAGTGATGAAGCTCCCACAACTTTCAAAGGCAACTTCTGTTTCATCGGTTGATTGTTCTCATTGTCAGAAAATTTCTCCTTATTTCTAGGTTGGATCTCTCCTTGATCAGTTTCCACCATTGTTCCTTGTCTGGCCTTCAGGTGCTTTGGAAAATAGGTTGACCCCCCCACTCCTCTCTGTGACAGCCCTCAAATATTGGAAGGCTGCTATTATCCTGGTCCTTCTCATATCCGAGACTAGCCATGCCCAGTTCTTGCCCCAGAGGAAAGATTGGGGAATCTGATAGTCCTTGAGGGTAACGACTGGGAAAGTCCAGAGATGGGATGGTCATTCCAGGGAGTCTCCCTCAATCGCTCATGGTTTCTTCTCTGCCTCTCGGGGCTCTCAACCCAAGAAGGCAGCCACTGAGTCCCCATGGAAACGACAGCAACAGGATATCCCAACCTGATCTTTAAGATGTGTCTTATGTGGCGCTTAAGCTCCATATTGCTTAAGCAGGGAAGCAGCACATACTGAAATAGAGGTGTTGACAGGCTATGGTCCAAAAAGTTGACAAGGTAGCTGAGATGCTGAGAGCAAAGTCTCACCTGTTTTTTACCTGTGATTCTTCTATCACGTCATTGTAGATACCATGTTGACATGGACCATACCTTCAAACATCGGTGTAAGAGTTTGGATCTAAATAACAAGCTGGGTTCTGACATAGCACTAAGCCATAAGATGGTTTGGTTTTGTAATACAGATGGTCCTTGACTTACAAACATAATTGTTCAAGCTTGTTTAAAGAGGGATACCACCTAGAAGTACAGAGAAATTTCCTGACAGTGAGAACAATTAATCAGTGTAGCAGCTTGTCTCCCAGAGTTGTGGGGGCCCCATCGCTGGAGGTTTTCAAGAAGAGACTGGACAGGCATTTGACCAGAAGGGCACAAGATTTCCTGACTTGAGAAGGGGGTTGGATTAAAAGACTAAAACATGGACACATAAGGCTGGAAGGAGTCCCAAAGTGGTTGTAAAGGGAGTTACATTTAATGACCTTTTGCCAAACACCTGTTAAGTAAATCACTGCACTTTTTAAGTGACTCCATCTTCCCCCATTGATTTTGCTTGTGGGAAGCCGATGTAAGAGATGACCAGACTGAGCCTGGGGGTGGGGTCAAATGTATCATCAGTCTGGAATTGCTAACCCTAACCCCAAAATCTGTTGACTCTCATCAGGTGCCAGTTTGCCTTAGCCATTAACAGATCAGTTTCTTATGTATGTGTTCCAATATCTAAGGGGCTACCATGAAGAAGACGGAGTCCACCTATTCTCCAGAGCACCTGAAGGCAGGACAAGAAACAATGGATGGAAACTAACCAAGGAGAGAAGCAACCTAAAACTAAGGAGAATCTTCCCGACAGTGAGAACAATTAACAATTAACCATAGTTACAATTAATGTAACTATGGGGATTCTGCAATGGTCATAATGTTGAGTACCAGCCCTGAGTCACTTTTACCAGTCCTGTTATAATTTTGAACATCACTAAATGAATGATTGTAAGTTGAGGATCAGCTGTAGTCTCATTTTTAAAATACCCCTATTGCAGGTTACAAAAGATGTTTTATTTTAAACACTGGTACATCAAAAGAGATAGCTAAGATTAATTCAGTCTCAAGCCTGATTCACTCACAAGCCAGAGTTGAGAATTAGGCAATATTGTGGTCCATGATAAAAACAGGGTGATGGGGAACGTCTTGCCTGGTTGCAAGAAAGCCAGAAGTAGCCTTCGGGGGCTAAAACTGGATTGATGTCTCCCAAATGCTGGAGTTAAGCAACCAACCCAGCTCATTGGTGAAATCTGATGAGGTGGTCCAGATA